GGCCCTGGTTCTCTTGAGGGCTGGGGGTAGGATATGATGGCAGAGTGCCCCTCCACTACCTGAGCTTCTAGTGCTGCTGACGTGTGGCAACTAACAGACTATTCTGTCACCTCATTAGGTTTTAACTTCTCTGACTAAACTGAATGGCTATTTCCATCAGCACATGGCTCGGTGGAGATCCGGTTTAGCAATAAAATGACTTTAGCTGAGTCAGGGACAGGACTAGACCAGGGAACAAAGTGTGACACAAGGAGTCACACACTTCTAAATGATCTTTGGATATTGCTACAGCAGGTTGCTCCTTTCTGAGATCCAGTCTGAAGTTCTAAGGGCCAAATGCTTTGCTGACTTGCAACTTCAGACACTCCCCACGCAGTCCACGTGGTTGCACAAGTCAGTATAGAATCTGACTCCAAAGGAGAAGTATTTCCATGTTGTAGTTTCTTTTTTCCTTCCCTCTGTAAATGTAAGGTGAGCATTAGGAAAAGCATCCTAACAGTGTGATCTGTTATACTATGAAAGTCTCTCTCAAAGAAAGTGAGCGAAGTCCCATTGTTCATCTAATTTTAAATGTCTCAAGCAAAGAATTGGAGAACATATTGCAATGGAAATTCTGCATTGGTAAGCACTGAGTAGATGAGTTAAATGGATGACCTAATAGGTAACTGCACATCCACCCACCCACCTGACAAATAGTGTGTCTCTCATCTCTGCCTCCTTCCTAGATCATTGTCCCAGATGGTAGGTTGGCCATAGTGTTGAGGTCAAGCTGGAGCAACGGAGGACAGATTGTCAGGGCTGAATAAGGCAGGACAAGGGGACGTTTCCCAAAGAGGCATATGCACATTCGCTCTCCATCTGGAATTCCTAGGCACTGACAGGAGGACAGTTCCATTTCCAGGCAACATTTGAGATTTCAAAATCTGTTTTTGTTTTGCATTGGAATGAAAACAAAACCTTCTGAATGTTTTCACAAAAACCATTGGAGTTCACGTGTAGGCTGATGGTTAAGGCCCTGTTCTGGGAGACCAAACTCACTGTTTAGAACAGAGTTTTTCATCCCAGATCACTCCAAACAGGTAAAGACTTAAACCCCCGTCTTTCGAGGCTAATACCCTAACCAACAGGCTACAGAGTCTCTCTCTTTGCTCAGCCTCAACCTGGACCCAGGAATGTTTTGGTTTTGACAAAACAGTATATTTGGGTAAAAATGTTCAAACCAGCTCTACTGGCTAGCAACAAAGAAATACAAAGTGAGGGCCCAAGAGAAGAAAATTGGACTTGTGATTAAGGAAGGGACTCAGGTAATGTGGATTCAAATCCTAACGCTGCTACAGACTTTCCTGTGTGACCATGGAAAAGCAACATAGTTTCAGTTCTCCTGGTGTGAAATGTAGATTCCTTTCCTATTTAGACTGCAAAGTCTTTGAGGCAGGGACTGTCTCAGAGCCTAACACAATGGAGCCTTAATCTCCATCATGGATTTTAGGCACTACTGTAATCCAAATAAATAATAATCAGAATCCTGCCTGCTTCATGTGAGTAGCTCCACTGAAATCAATGAGATGACTCAAATAAAGTAAACAGTGGTTGGTCCTAAAATCAGAATTCAAAACCCAGTGCTTTCCCACTGATTTCAATGCAGAATGTCTTCCTTCCTCTCCTAATTTCTCTTTCTTCCAACCTATTACCAGGAAATGGCAGCCTCCATGCAGTAAGTTTTACTTCTTTTTAAAAAATAAAAAATAAAAACTGACTTAAAAATTAATTATAGTCAATTTCTATTGCTTTCAGTAAAAGTCTAGATAATTCTGAAGTGTTGAAAGAGTTTTTCTGTACTTGTAACTTTCATTTTCTTGAAAGGTGTATTATTTAAGAAAGCACCTATCTCATTTGTATTCCTTTTCTCAATAGGCACCTTAACATTTATTAACTGTGTCAATGTGAAGTGGGGAACCAGAGTACAAGATCTGTTCACATATGCAAAAGTTATGGCCCTTATCATGATCATCTCGGTGGGTCTTTATAAAATTAGTAAAGGTAAGAATATATTTCATTTTAGACATTTTTTTTAAAAACTGAACAGTATCTGAGAGTCAAAATCTATACAGTAGTATCAGAATCCACACTTCAATATAAAATGTTATGCACTGGGCAATAGCTGTTAATTTCCTGAAAAAGAGGTGACAGCTATATTGCTCTGTAGGATGCTTTAAGCTCCATTTACACTGCGATAAAAGACCCACGGCACACCTGGGCTCACAGGGCTTGGTCTGCAGGGCTATAAAATTTCAGTGTAGACGTTTGGGCCACCAAAATGTAAACCCGGGGTTCAAACTCACGTTCAAGGCTAGCCCCCTTCCATCTACACACAAATCATGCTAACCCAGGCTCGGACTCAGCGTCTCAATAGTTTGCAATATGGGGCCAAATATTTTCATGAGAACAGGACAAGTTTTCAGTGCCAGCAATTCTGAACCCTAGTCTTCATACAACCTTGAAACCACACTTTAGCCTAAACTGCCTTGGTCTACCCTTGGTCCATTTTTAGCTGTAGAGGATGAATAGGGATTACAACATGGTTATACTCTAATAAGTTATTCTGCTTTCTAGAGCATATTTGTTGGCTGTCAATGGTTCCAGATGAAATTTTCCTCAGGTTCCAACTAATAGACTTTTTTAAATAAATGCCAGCTCTGCAAACTTAATCTGGGATATGAAATGCAAACTGCATGCTTTCTGGCTTGTGCATCATCAGCAGAATTGCTAACTAAATTCCGTTTGCAGAATCTTTATTGCTAGTGATGATGTGTGAATCAGAAAGAGGACTGCTCAAATTTCAGATTCCAGGTTCATTTTGCAGACTTGCTCTCACACAGAGAAAACTCTGCAATGCTAACAAATGTTAAAAAAAAATAGTAAAAAATTATTTTTGTCAGAAAAGTAAGCAGCCATAAATGTGTCAATATTAGGGCTGTCAAGCGATTAAAAAAATTAATCGCAATTAATCGTGTGATTAATCACACTGTTAAACAATAATAGAATACCATTTATTTAAATATTTTGGATGTTTTATACATTTTTTCAAATATATTGATTTCAATTACAACACAGAATACAAAGTGTATAGTGCTCACTTTATATTTATTTTTATTACAAATATTTGCACTGTAAAAAAACAAAAGAAATAGTATTTTTCAATTCACCTAATACAAGTACTGTAGTGCAATCTCTTTATTATGAAAGTTGAACTTACAAATGTAGAATTATGTACAAAAAAATACATTCAAAAATAAAACAATGTAAAATTTTAGAGTCTGCAAGTCCACTCAGTCCTACTTCTTGTTCAGCCAATCGCTCAGACAAACAAGTTTGTTTACATTTTCAGGAGTTACTGCTGTCCGCTTCTTGTTTACAATGTCATCTGAAAGTGAGAACAGGCATTCTTATGGCACTGTTGTAGCCGGCGTCACAAGATATTTACATGCCAGATGCGCTAAAGATTCATATGTCCCTTCATGCTTCCACCACCATTCCAGGGGACATGCGTCCATGCTGATGATGGGTTCTGCTCAATAACAATCCAAAGCAGTGCAGACTGATGCATGTTCACTTTCATGATCTGAGTCAGATGCCACCAGCAGAAGGTTGATTTTCTTTTTTGGTGGTATGGGTTCTGTGGTTTCCGCATCTGAATGTTTCTCTTCTAAGACTTCTGAAAGCATGCTCCACACCTCATACCTCTCAGATTTTGGAAGGCACTTCACATTCTTAAACCTTGGATCAAGTGCTGTAGTTATCTTTAGAAATCTCACACTGGTGCCTTCTTTGCGTTTTGTCAAAGCTGCAGTGAAAGTGTTCTTAAAATGAACAACACATGCTGGGTTATCATCCGAGACTGCTATAACATGAAATATATGGCAGAATGCAGGTAAAAAAGCAGGGAACGTACAGTTCTTCCCCAAGGAGTTCAGTCACAAATTTAATTAATGCATTTTTTTTTTAGCATTATATTTTTAACAAGCATCATCAGCATGGAAGCATGTTCTCTGGAATGGTGGCCAAAGCACGAAGGGGCATATGAATGTTTAGCATATCTGGCATGTAAAAACCTTGCAATGCTGGTTACAAAAGTGCCATGTGAACATCTGTTCTCACTTTCATGTGACATTGTAAATAAGAAGCAGGCAACATTATCTCCTGTAAATGTAAACACACTTGTTTGTCTTAGCGATTGGCTGAACAAGAAGTAGGACTGAGTGGACTTGTAGGCTCTGAAGTTTTACATTGTTTTGTTTTTGAGTGCAGTTATGTAACAAAAAATCTAAGTTTGTAAGTTGCACTTTCACGACAAAGAGAGTGAACTACAGTACTTGTATGAGGTGAATTGAAAAATACTATTTCTTTTATCATTTTTACAATGCAAATATTTGTAATAAAAATAATATACACTTTGATTTCAATTACAACACAGAATACAATACATATGAAAATGTAGAAAAACATCCAAAATATTTAATAAATTTCAATTCGTAGTCTATTGTTTAACAATGCAATTAAAACGGCGATTAATTGCGATTAATTTTTTTGAGTTAATCGCGTGAGTTAACTGCGATTAATCGACAGCCCTAGTCAATACGTACAGGGAGCAGTCCTGTGGCATATGTAGGGACCATTTTATGTGGTCACTTTTTTGACCATAATGTAGATAGGACTGAGGAGTTTCAGTTTAATAGAAGAGAAAATGTTATTGGACCGAGGCCTATAATAAAGACAGGGTTTAGGATGATATTTTATTGTCTGTATTCTGGGAGAACCAGGGTCCAACCAGGATTATAAACTCCATTGTGCTAGTCACTGTATTACCACATAATAAAAAACAGTCTCTCTCTTGAAGAGCTAGCACTCTAAAAGATAAGACAGACTAATAGAAATAGATGAGCAAAAAATAAGTAATTTGTTGTTCCTGTTCAGAAATAAGCTACACTGGCACAAACACTTTTATACTGATATTACTGTCCCCATGCTCGGGGAGCTGAACTATTTATACCGGTATAGGAAAAGTAGTATAGCTTTTGTGTGTAAACAGGCCTTAGTAGGTCAGAATATGCGAGTTGTCTCTGACCTGTCAGCTCTGATCAGAAGCAAACTGCTGAACATAGCTCTAAGGACAAGGAGTGAGAATGGGGGAGGAGAATATTGCTGATAGTCATTCTCTATTATATTTTCTAATCTGGCTAGGAAATGGAGATGGAGAGGTAGCAAATGTTATTGTTGTGAATGAAGAATGCTAAGAGCTTTCAGTGGGAGTCAAGTCATCTGATAAGCCAGGGATCAACAACCTTTGGCGGCCCATCAGCAGAAATCAGATGGCGGGCCAGGACGGTTTATCTGCAGGTTCGGCCGATCGCAGCTCCCACTGGCTGCGGTCCCCCATTCCAGGCCAATGGGGGCTGCGGGAAGCAGCGGCCAGCACATCCCTCAGCCCACGCTGCTTCCCACAGCCCCCATTGGCCTGGAACGGCAAACCGTGGCCTGTGGGAGCTGCGAACAGCCAAACCTGCGAATGCTGCATGTAAACAAACCGTCCCGGCCTGCCAGCGGATTTCCCTGATGGGCCACATGCCAAAGGTTGCCAATCCTTGTGATAAGCCCTAGTCTACGCTATGAACTTATGTCTGTATAACTACGTTGCTCAGGGGTATGGAAAATCTACACACCTGAGCGATGCTTTATAGTGACCAAACTCCAGTGTAGACAGCGCTGTGTTGATGGGAGGGCTTTTCCTGTTGACATAGCTACCGCCTCTCATGGAGATGGAGTACCTACACCAACAGGAGACACTCTCCATCTTCACTAATTGCTACAGCTGCTGCAGCATTGTAAGTGTAGACAAGCCCTAAACTAGTAGGGGATGAGCGTAACCTAATCTATATTATATTTAAATAGATTCAGGGTATTAAAATGGTGAAGCAATAGGAAGTTGGGGAGAGGGATGAAGGAAACTCAGGAATTTGTGATCAGGTCAACATTCTTTCACTCAGCAGTTATTTTACTGAGAACAGTTATGTTTTCCCCTAGCTTCCGTATTCCTGATATAGTCAAATGTGTTTATTTTTTGGACATTATGAATGTTTGTGGTTTTGAAACCATGCTGTTTTTAGAAGGTAAGTTTCTCGGCCCTGTCACTCTGTTTTGATACCATTAAAGTCAGAGATGTCTCTTTGTCAGCACAGACCCCCATCTGCAGTCCCTCTCCATGGAGTGTAGATGGATCCTATGATTTAACCCCACCTATCCCAATTCTAACAGTAACTGTGTATGAGATTTTGTTACAAAGGTGAAACACTAGTAGCTGCAAACTTTACTCTGTCAGTCTCCATAGCTTACTGCTTGTGTGTAACCCATGAATTCCACATATTTAATTACCTTCTTAATGTTCAGGGTGACTTTATAAAGAAGGCTTCCCTTTGCTCCTGAGTAAAGTGTCTGAATGCTCGTCTCACCCATAATACATAATTCCATTTCTATTCATAAGTGATTTTTCAATTTCCTTCTGCATATTTGGTAATTTTAAAAGTCTTTCCTCCACTTCCACTTTCCCTGGATATTTGAGGTAAACATTTTTATTCAAACCAGTTTCTTTAGCATGCTAATGAAAACCTGGACCCCAGGAGTTTTTCCCCTCCTGGATGCTTAAATAAATCTACAAAGATATCTGTAGATAAATAGAATTACATCATATCAGATTTCACATTAATAAATGCATTACAGAAATTAACTTCTAAAAATGACAATATTATGCTTTTATATAGCAATTTTATCCATAGAATTCAAAGTGCTTTAAAAAGAAAGTAACTATAATTATCCCCATTTTATAGATGGGGAAATTGAGGCACAGATGTGACATGACGTGAGTCGCACATCAAGTCAGAGAAGGGGCCAGGAATAGAACTGTAGCCTCTTGATTCCCATCCTATCCACTGGTCACACTCTCCTGGGTTTTTAACAGAGGGTGTGAATGGTCCCACTGAAGTCAATGGCAATCCCTTATTTATCAAGTCAGAACTAGTCCCATAATAGTCAGACAACAAATATGGAAAAACATTACTTACATGTGTAGTTCCATATCACTCTTTGTGAGATATTCTGATGTCTCTAACTGACTAAGCTTTTTTATATCTCCAATGCTATGAAAATATCTATATATTTTTAAAAGGTTTTATGGTCTGAGAACAGTAGCTTTTGTTTTATTGTGTTTAGCTGAAGTGTATATACCTAACGTAGATAACATAGAAAAACATTTAAACATAACCTATAACTGCTTTATAATATTTACATAGGAGAAACAGAAAATCTTAAAGCTCCATTTGAAGGTTCAACAACTGATGTAGGATGTATAGCACTTGCTCTGTATTCAGCCCTCTTTTCCTACTCTGGATGGGATACCCTGAATTATGTCACTGAGGAGATGAGGAATCCTGAAAGGTTTGTGCATACTCTCAAATCCCCCAAAGAGTGTTACAAAGATTATGAAAACATGACAAAATAGATTGTTCAATAACCCAATGGATGAGTTCAGTGTGTATTTCAGGGGGCGGGGGGTCCCAGTTTTGAAATTAATCAAACTACTATCCATAAAAAACTTCTTAGCTTTTGAAAAGACCTACTAAGCACCATACCACTATATGATTTCCCTTTATCTCTTCAGATGTATTATATCAAAAAGTCAATATCTCCATATGTGACATTATTTTCTTTTACTTTTTAGGATGGGATTTTCAAAGGCACCTAAGGAATTAGGGCACCCAACATCCACTGAAAATGAATAGGATCTGGGTGCCTAACTTCCACAGGCCCTTTGAAATTCCCATTTTTTTTTTGGTCAGCCAGTGTTGTATTTTACTTTCGAGGAAATGAGCCAAAGTCAATTGTAATAATAAACTGGGGCAAAGGGGAGAAACAAAAGAGTTATACTAGTGTTCTGGAAACGTTCATTTCCAAGGCCTGGTCTACACCTAAAGGTTAAAAGGTTCACATTCTTAGGGGTAATATTCGATACTAGATTACTTTGGAAAGTGTAGACAAAGCCTGAATCAGCATGGAGAGGCACATACATTGACAGGAGCCAAATTTAAGCGAAGACATTTCCGCAGCTAGATTGGCAGCTTATATCGACCTGTGGAGCAAGCCTGAATAAGTTTCCCATACCTGCAGAAAAGTTCTGTGTAAGCACAAAAGCTTGTCCCCCTCACCAACAGAAGCTGGGCCAATAAAAAATATTACCTCACCCACTTGTATCTGGGAGGAGCATTTCTCATTTTAATACGATGCAATACCATTTTATCTCTCTCTTTGTAGGAATCTACCCCTCTCAATTGCAATTTCAATGCCTATTGTGACCATTATTTACTTGCTGACTAACATAGCATACTATGTAGTGTTGGACATGCCAGCTCTTCTAACAAGCGACGCAGTGGCAGTGGTAAGTTGTGTGAAGTTTATTAAGGCAAATGTTTATAATATGTATAATGCTGTGGAAGATTCTCATTTGGTCCCCTATACAGCAGATTTCTTACCCTGCCAATTAAGGTGTTTCGTGTGTGTGTGTGTTTAATAGTTATAACTACTTGTTTCTGTGTAATAACACCAGTACACTGTGATAACTCAGACATAATGCATATCTCTTTGTGAACTGATGCTTGTTAAACCATTGTATAATCTCTGTAAATCCTGATCCTAACAATGACCTAGATGTAGCGGTTGTTTTAAATAAACTAATTTTGCTATAGTTCTACTTCATGATGTTCAGTATTGTCACTGAACACTCTACACTGACAGAAATAGTTTTGAGACAAATTGTTGCTAAGCGCTGCTCAAACTTTTATTAGCATTTCACACCCCCAAAATACAAACAAATATAGTCAACATATTATACAATATGGAAAGTCTATAGTTATTAACACACAATTCAACAATTGATTTATACATCCTAATCTGCATGAAAACCACTATTTCAAACCCAATTTACAGAAATTAACAAAAATCCAATTTTGTTTTAATGCTAATGTAGGATTTATCTTAGCATTGATCAGCCTTTCAAAATTCCAATCACCCACTCAGCAGGAGTAGTTTTCATTATCATCATGGTAAAGAATGGGCTAGGAGACTCTGTGCTTGGACTGATAAATTTTCCTGACAGTTTTGCAAGGCTGTCATTGCATATTTAATGTAATTAGCCTCATGCGCTTTCTTTTCTATTGCAGACATTTGGTAATGAAACCCTTAGTTATGCTAAGTGGATAATTCCTATTGCAGTGGCGATGTCCTGTTATGGTGGATTAAACTCATCAACTATTGCAGCTTCCAGGTATGAAACATCAAACATGTAAAAGGCAGGCAGTACTCAAAGAGCAATCAATAGCACTTTGTAGTAAGTGGCATCATTTAATAATATATTGCAGTGGGACGTGCTGAAGTTAAGAATCTGTGACTATCTCCATTTCAGGTGTTTAGTATTGTAGGATAAAAGTAATGCACTCTATGTTAAGAATGCAGTCTAAAGGTAGCAGTAGAATGTTAACAGGAGTGACCGTTGAGTTTCTTTCTATCACTTTGTTCTAACTTGACTGGCAGACTTGCTACAAGAAATTTAGGGTAAAGATGGGACAGGTACAGGGAGGGAGGGTGTAAGACTCCCATGCATGGCTGACACCAGTTGCATTCCTGGTGCACAAAGAATGTTCCCTATTAGTGCCACCTGGGGAGTGAACCATCCCAAAAGAAATGAGAAATGGTAGGGAAAAGGCCTTGTAACATTGTCCCTCTGTGTATACTGCCCCTTCTAGTTAGTGACACAGCAGATTCACTGCCCCTTCATGGTGGGGTGCTTTGGGAGGCATTGTATGAGGTACACTCATGTCTTGGCATAATGTTTCCAGGTGCTCTGGCTGCAGCAGTACAGCTCAGCACAGCCTCCTTTGCCAAGCAGTAATTAGCTGCCATAGTGTGGCCCTATGATTGTAGGCTGCTCAGGGCATGCGCCTCTCTTCTTTTATTTGTATGTAAAGCCCAGCACAAATCTCTGTGGCTCAGAGCGCTTGTAGGGTAAAATCTGAATAAATAAAACAAAAATCTCTGAGCACACCTCCAGATTCCAGTGAGAAATAGCATGACTGAGTAGTGGTGTTATTTTAGAGTCAATTAATAGTCCAACTTTATTTGCATTACACTGAAAAATATTTGTATTCTTCCTTTTTCATCTGTCAAAGACATTTGTCATGCTGGATATTGCTATACTGTGATATTTGAAGCTGATCCAATAATAGTTCCTGTTGATAATTCATAAATAATAAACAGTATTGGAACTGCTTTAAACAGAAAAACAAGGACCACCTAAGGAAAAAAAATTCCTTTCAGTCAAGCCAGAATTGACCTTTACATACCATCAATCTCATAAATTTGACACGGATCCTATTCAACAGAATTGAAAGTCTGCTAATGTTGCCATGTGCATGAATACATTAGAAGTACCAAACCTGAAGAAATGCCACAATCCAAGGATATAAGGACATCATTTAGCACCATCTTTGTCCAATAATATCATGTAGTTCCATGGTCATCTTTCTGTAATGCCAAAGCAAAATAATTCAGAATATGCAAGTCTAGTGTGGAGTTATTGTTCATTTGTGGGGAGCAACACTGCCCTTGGCCTAACAAATGTGGTGAATTTGCTGTATATAGCTGCAAGTTAATCTGAATCTAAATTAAGTTTTTAATATTTGGGTTAATATTTATTTCAACACTAATAGTTCATGCTTTATAGCTACGTATTTAGCATAATTGCATATTGTCTGTGGACAGGTATATACTTGAAACACTTGAAGAAAACCAAAACACTTAAAACCAAGATGCAGCTATAATACTGTAGGTCTCATCTTCTGTGTCTACAGCTATAAGTATGAAAGAACCAAATTCAAGAGACGAGTCCAGCACATGCCAATGCTGTTTGTTTGAAACTTACATTCTCCCTCCCACTGCTATTCACAGTGCATTATTTAGTTAATTAGTTAGTTAGTTAAACATTGTGCTAGTGACTAGAGGCAAACCAGGTCAAAGCCCCTTTGTGCTAGGGCTGTGCCAACATATAGTAAATGACTATCCCTGTCCCAAAGAGCTTACAACCTAAAGGACTGCATGGAGCTTCTCCACCTATGCAAAGGTGCAGATATGGCTCCCCCCTAAATAGAAAGCATGCTCAGCACAGAGGATTGGACTGGACTATATACTTTTTTTGCTGTCAAATTGCCCCTCTCTAAGCATTGTGATGGCTTTTGATAGTCCTGGTAGGGTCTTTTGACATTATAGGAGCAATAGCATTCAGTGTATTTCAGGCTACAGGAAGTTCTGTCAAGAATATTTAATGCAATGTGCAATGTTTCTACAATAAACATATGCTTGCAGTGAAGTACTATTTTCAGTAGCACAGATTTTATTATTGGAACTCTCAAACGAAGGACTACTTAAAATGGGGCAAGTGCAGTCTTCTGATTACCTAGTAGCAGTCTGATCTACATTTGTCACATTAAGTCAAATAATTCCTTAATGATGGAGACGTTTTTGTACCCTGGCATTTACACTAGCGCTGTCTATTATCCAGTGAAAGGCAAGGGTGGACAAAAGAATGGTACTTACAACAAAAAAGCATTTTTCTCCATAAATGTTTACAACAACAACAACAAATATAATTGGTTCTGCCTTTGTGGAAAAACAGAAGGATTCTGCTTGGCTAATTAGACTTTTTTCTTTCCTTTTGTGTTAGGCTTTTTTATGTTGGAGCCAGAGAAGGACACCTTCCTGATAGTTTGAGTTTGATTCATATAAAGTGTTTCACACCAATCCCTGCTCTTTTCTTTAATGTAAGTAACAGTACTTCTCCACTTCTTTCTTCACTATTTTAGGAATTTTCTGCAAATGGTAAAGTATTATGAATCCCTTTTACACTCAATTTCTCCAGGCCTGTCTACACTGGGGAAGTTTCCCCAAAATGGCTAATTGAACTAAATTGTTTTTTAAAACAGTTGGAGCCACATGGCCTGATTCTCATTTACACTAAGGCCACCCAGGTAAAGTGATCTTAGTGTGAATGAGAAGTAGGCCCAGAGGGTAGGGTTAATCAGCCCAAATAGTTATAAAATCACCTGTAGGGGTTTATCTGAATCAGTTTTAAAAATAGTTGGGATATTGCAACAAAAATTCTCAGTTTATCCAAGATTTAACATTAATTAGTCTCTGTGTTCTGATCTAGGTTAGAAAAAGGAGAAGGTTTAAAATGCATAACCACAGAGTTTACAGCGGCACAGCTGTACCGATGCAGCTGCTAGTGCAGATGCTCTATGCTGACAGGAGAGAGCTCTCCCATCCACTTAATTACTCCAGTCCCCACAAGCAGTGGTAGCTATGTTGGCAAGAGAAACTCTCCTGCTGACATAGTTCTGTCCACACCGGCACTTGGTCAGTGTAACTTGCACCACTCAGGGAGGTGGCTTATTCACACCCCTGACTAAACTGATACCGACGTAAGCTGTAGTGCGTACATAGCCTAAGTTTTTGTGTGGGTTTGCATATTCACAAAGCCACATACTGAAATTTTCAGGTGAATACCACACGCTAAAAAGAGAATTAGTTTAGTTGGCTTTGGGTAAGAGGAAGATTGACTCACAATGAAATACTACCAGCTTCCCAATGAAGAATGCTTTATGTAGACATGTGCTAAAGTATATAAGAATTTTAAAAGAATATATACACAGTATTTGTCACAGGACTTAATATACTTGGATCAAAGTATTTAAAATTGGGTTCCTAAAGCTAGACTTTTACATCCATATTTACTTTGTTCTTCTCTAATTGCACAAAGGAATCTTCTTTGTGATGGGCACTTATAGGTATTTTAAAATCTTATTTACAAATTAAAATGAGATATTATGGCGCGAGAGCGACATTTCATTGTAAATGAGATTGTGGGACACAGGGACAGGGAGCTGTAAAATACAAAATTAGAACAAATGATTGCAAGTATTAATCCAGAAATCAAATAGATTAAAGTGGGGGGGGGGAACCCATCATAAAGCATTTATTGCTGCTTATTAAACTATTCATTTCACTTGGTGAAATTCTATAGCCTGTCTTATGCAGATGATCAAAGTGCCTTTTTGCCTTAATGTAGGAATCTAGGAATGAGTCATTTGAGTCTGAATATTCCCACTAGTGGGAATTACACTTGTATCAGTGGGAAGGGTTTGTTCTCTTAACATGTGAACATAATTCCCATTTATCAGAATAGAAGTTTTCTGTGTTTATTGAGGGAAGAATGCACTCTTTCAGTTGTGCTCTTTAATAAATCAGTGGTTAAGATTCAGAGATTTTAGGGCTCATTCACATCTCGACTCAGTTCTGCAGTCTTTGGGGCCAAATACCGTAACTCTCACTGAAGTCCAATTGTTTGTAGAAAGCTCAAAAAGAGGAACATTCTACTACACTTCTAGAGGGAGAAATCTTTGCTTAATTGTTCTCAGTGCACAGAAATACAATGTACTGTACAGTGTTTGTTTGAAGGCAGATATTTAAAAGTTAAAATCTTGTATTGTGTTGTCCAGTGGACTTGTCCAGTGTTGTCCAGTGGATTGTGAGCTAGGAGCACCTCAGTTCTAATTATGGGTCTGATATTGACTACTCGTCTAGCTTTGGGCAAGTCACTTGAACATCTCTGCCTCAGTTTCCTCCTCTATAAAGGAGGAAAACAATACATATTTGCCTACCTTACCAGAGAGATGTGAAGACTGATTAATATTTGTAAAGTGCTTTGAATACAAAATAATTATATAAATATTTGTGTTGTTATGTTTACTATTAAATTTAAGGGCCTGTATCCCTAGAAGTTCATGTCGTAACTCCCATTGACTTCAGTGGGACAGGATCAAGCCCTACATCAGTAAAGTACATTAGATAAAATGAATAAAGTTTGAAAATTTGACAAATCTAGCAGTCCATAGAAAAAAGAAAGAAAGAATGAGTGATGACATTGAACCCTGGGGTAAGTAACCACCCAGAGGACTGACTACATTTTTTCATAAAGGTTGCCTTACAGTTTACTTGTACAATTCCATGACAAAGCTTCCGGGATCTCTTAAATGCTGAATATAAATAGGCTAGTATGGGATGGTTTAGCTTGTGCGACTTGTCGTTCAGGGACATTGTTTGCCACAGATCAAATTTCCAAATTCAAAACAAATGGGGAATATCTAGCTGGTTGAAATTTTTCAAAATTAAAAATGAGATGGGGGGAAATATCCCTTTTTGACAAACTCTAATCTCATGAGCACGTGAGGTGTCTTCATTAGCCCCACACAGAGCTTTAGGGACAATGCAGTAGCAGCTGTAGAAGAGGATTTGGCTGTGACTAGAACTAAACATAGGCAGTCCCTGGTAATGTTAGTGAGTTGCTCACCTGGTAAAGGTAAGTTTGCATTTGAAAGTTTTGGGGGATACTTTAAGGTAGTCCCTTAGTCGGATGTTTCCTTGTTAAGTGTGGTCACTAACACAGATTTCACTGTATAGAAGAAGCATGTTACTATGCCAGTGACCTTCTCTGATAGTTATGTCTTAATAAGAGTTAGTTTTTTCGCTTCATAACTCCATGTTGTGTTTTCTTCTTGGTCCTGCAGTGAAGTTGTCATAGTCTTGGATTTGTGACATCAGCCAGTTACCATGGAAACGATTGTGATGTTACAAATTCATAATTATGACATCATTGCAGGATGAGGAGAAGAAAAATAGGATGCAAGGGAGAGAACTTCTCTTTAAATATTAATAGATTTGAAAACAAATGAAAGGTAAATTACTTCATGTTTTAGTCAAATATATATGTTGTCTGTAGAACTGCATACTCTCTTGGTTCACCAGAACCTGGATTTGGTGACCTTTAGAGTACACTTCAAGCCCAGACTATTCCTCGGAGAAGCATTCATTAAGGGGAGCAAGGGGCATGACAGAGAGATACTGTAGGAAGATGTATAGGCCTGAGTACCCTATTTTAATATGCTCTTAAAATATATCCAGGGCCAGTAGCACCGACTGTTAGTGAGGTTGCCTAATGCTCCCCATTATGAGGCTCTGTTTAGTGTTGCTTATAACTTTGCCAAAATTTAACCATTTGGGTTGAAATTTTACATGCCAGATGCCTGCCTCAGACATCAATATTTTGGAAAATTTGCATCAAAACAGTCCAGCAATTTCTGAGAATGAGGCAAAGGAATGATAATGTTTTGCCCAATTTAAAAAATCCCGGTGACTTTTTAAAAATTTTATTTTGAACAGCTCTAGTGCCCGCGTGCTTTGGAGCAATTAACTGAAATTTGGCAGAGGAGTGGCCTTTGTGTCAGAGATGTGCCTTTTGCTGACCCTATGAAAATCTGCCCAAATTTGGCCAAGAGATAAGCCTTTTCAGAGTCTCCATTAATACATGCTTAGGAGAGACAGCTCCTACTGTTGATCAGATTGACCGTCCCCATAGAGCAGTTGACCATGCTTCCACCAGCCCAGAGCAACAGGGATGAAGCAGAACTTTCCCTGTAGTGGCTGCTCCCAGCTGTTTTGGGCTGTGGCTGGACTGGGCACTAGAACAGAGAGCAGGGAGTGTCTCTTTCCTATGCTCATAGGGTACATGTACACAGGGATAAAAGACCCACGGCATGACTGTGGCTGTCTAGGTCAGCTGACTTGGGCTTGTGGGACTCAGGCTGTGGGGCTAAAAAACAAAATTGCTGTGTAGACGTTCAGGGTCAGGCTGGAGCCCGAGCTCCAGGACACTCCACTCTTGCAGCCCGAGGCCAAGCATCTTTTATCCCAGTGTAGACATACCCTCAAAGACACCTCACCTCCGCACCCCGCTCAAACTGCTGGCACCCATGCAGAATGGAGGTGTAAGCTTCCGAACACAAATGCCGAGAGGACAAGAGGTGGGCCTGTGAGCAGGGCAGGTGGGGGGAAAGAATAGGAGTCTGATGAGACTGGGACTGGAGAATGGAGGAGGGGAGAGGGAAGAGAAAATAGGATTAGCTAGGGCAGGATACTTGGACTGTGAGCCAGTGGGGTTGGGAGGCTGGGAATGATTTGGAGCCAAGGAGAGACTGGGACGAGAAGCCTGAGGAGTGGAGACTGGGACTGGGTAGGCAAAGAGAAGGAGCCAGAGACAAGGACTGGAATAGGTACAGATTGGAGGGGCTGGGGAAACAGGAGTCAAGCTTGGCTGTGTGGGGGAGGGCAGGCAGAAGGCTCTGTGACCACTAGAGAACACTCCCTTCCATCACCTAGAATGGAACCCAAGATTCCTGAGTCTCGCCATTCCTCTGCTGTCAGCATATCTGTAAAACCCACTGGCAAAGTGGATGTCTCATCCCCCTCTAGTGCTGGTCTACAGAGCAGATGACAAACTACTATTGCTACCAGTTACTCTGCTAGTTCAAGTGGCAGAGGTCTGTGAAGTGGGTCCAAAGGTTCCAATGTGGCTGATGAACCATGTGGGTGTCAGTATAATGCCACATGATGGAATTTTTTTTTTCAATTTGCTTCTTTAAAAAATGAGGAAATTACACACAAAGTACATCAAAAGAACATTTATTAAGGTTGCATAGTCAAGCATTCAAAAGCTAGGACAAGCCAGAAAAACTGCCTGTGCCCCTTTGTATGCATTATGATACAGTCTTTAATTGCATGATCACCTACTATTTTTAACTACTGGACACCTACCTCATTCAGTGCTCACAATGGATCTGCTCTGGGGATAGATCAGGGCTGTGTTCTGAATGAGGTTGTTGTTTGTTGGGCCCTTGCCTAATTTAGAAGTTGGAAGGGGAGTCATGAATAAGCCAGGGGGTTTCAGGAAGAGAAAGGATGGCCTCATGGTTAAGGCAGCTGAATGTCACCCTGGAGAACTGGATTCTATCCCTGCCTGTGCCAGAGTTTTCACTGTGATGCTAGGCAAGTCCCTAGACCACACTTTTCACAGGTGGTCACTAATTATCTGTTCTTCTTTTTCTGTGTTCCTGATTTGAGACCCTGGATCTGATTTGCAGGAGTGTTGAGCACTCACTGCTGCAACTGAAGTCAATGAGAGCTGTGCTTTATATAGAGCACTATATAATGTTCAGAACTCTGACAACACAGGTTCTAGGTGTCTCAAGTTAGACACCACATAGGTGGAAATTTTTGGACCTTATTCCCTCTGTGCCTCAGTTTCCCATTTGTAAACTGGGGATATGACCCCCTCACCTCCCAGGGGTGTTGTGATAAATTAATGTTTGTGAAGCAATCAGATACTATGCTAATGAGCACCATAGACAAGCCCATGAGGAAATCAATGGTTCTGTCTTCAGAGCAGGATTTGACTGGTGTGAGGTAAAAAAGGCATGGGGCCACACATTGAGCAGTGGGGAGAAAACAAAATATAGAACAGCTGGCCATTCCCTGAGCACTGTCCACCAGTGCACTTACAGATTTCTTAGCGGTTCTGAGAACACAGCTCTCAGTGATTTCAGTTGGAACTTAGGAGCTCAGCACCACTAAAATCAGGCCTTTGATATATAGTACTTAATATATATAATATGTTTTTGTTTCATAAGAAAACTATTTTGTTGCTTAAAAAAGCTTTTCCCCCCCACCTTTTATGTCTGTAGGGTTTAATGACTTTGCTCTACCTCCTTGTGGAAGATGTCTTTCTCCTCATTAATTACTACAGCTTCAACTACTGGCTGTATGTTGGGCTGTCTATTGCAGGATTAATATACCTGAGACATACTCAGCCTGATAGGCCACGGCCTATTAAAGTAAGTACATTACAGAAGGCAATAAAACATAATATACAGTCAATGCATCTGTTTGTATATACATTACAGTATTGGGAGGGCCGGCTCCAGCTTTTTTGCTGCCCCAAGTGGCGGAATAAATAAATAAATAAATAAAATAAAAAGCCGATCGACTACAAGTGGAGCGATTGAGGTGCCGCCGAAGAAGAAGAGAGGGACCCGAAGGACCCGCCGCCGAATTGCCGCTGCAGACCGGGATGTGCCACCCCAGTAACGTACGAAGTGCCGCCCCTTTCTATTGGCTGCCCCAGGCACCTGCTTCCTTCTCTGGTGCCTGGAGCCGGCCCTGAGTATTGGTACTAAGGATGTGTCAGAACTTCCCTTATATGCTACTCTTTTAGCCACAAAAGTCCTTTTAACATACACTGTCACAAGTTAAGGAGCAAAATGTATCCCAGCTTTCAGAAGGATATCTATTACGGCATTTTTGCTATATATAGTATAAAAATTGACATTTATTGATTTTGTGACTCATTTTTGCTTCTGTTCAACTTAAAACCCTCTTCGTTTTTAAAATGACATTGTCTAGGCTCCTTAGTCCATAGTGTGTAGCTGGATAGGCCTTTATTTTTGTGTAGTCATTTTTTCTCATAGTGGATCTTTACATTGCCATAGTTACAGGGTGCCTAGGGCTCTGGCACAGTTGGGTATTCAGGTTTGATTACACCTCTTATAGTTTGGGAAATTCTGAGCTGCCAGACAATAGTTCTACCTCTCCTTCGTTTGTAGGACTAGTACTTTACTTCCTCTTCCCTTCATCCATATATATTTTGCCATCCAAGACACACATGGTAGTGGGAGAGTGAGGTGTATTAATGCTACTTGGGTCCTCCAAGAAATGGTACCCTATACACTCTTCAAGTATAGAGGAGTGTTACATTCAGTCAGACAAGTGAAATTAGAATACAAATTAATACCCCTTCACGAGCTTTTCCAAAGACGTTTTTATTTTTGACTCTGTCTTGTCACAGTCTCCTGTACCATCTTTACCAGCATCAGTTTTTGTTTGTGTGTTATTAAAGAGCAAAATGTTTTGATTGCTATCCAGCATCTACAACAAAAATAGAACTCCTGTGTACAATCAGCATTAAAGTACATTCTCTAAAGCTAGTAAACTTTCTAATTCTCCAAAGCTAGTCAATTTTTTTTAAATTTCAAGTTTGACAAGATCTTTCATTCACATTTTGAATGTAAAAAGACAACAAAAAACCCACCTCACAACAACCAACAAGGGAAATTTTGCTCAATCTTTTTCCTGTTTTTTGACCAGCCAGTTCTGCTTTCTGTTGGACATCAGACCGATGAAACACAAACTGTTCATGGGTCTGCTGCAGCCCACAAATCTTGAAGTTGTAAAAATGAACTATTGTATTCCACGCTTTACCATATGCAGCCCTGCTTGACAACAAATAGCCTTGATAAAACTTACTGTCTTCACACTTAATTTACAAACTCTCCAGATAATAGGCAGAAAAGAGGAGAGAGGGTGAAATCCCGGCCTTATTAAAATCAATGGGAATTTTGCCATAGACTTCAGTACACCCCAAGATTGCACCCAGAGAGTTTATCTAAGCTGACTGTGGGTGCCAAATTATGAATTTCTATTATTCTTTGCCTGCTTAGCTGACCTCACATTTTTGCATGGAATTTTGTGCACGCACAGTGGATTGTTTTCCTCAATTTATATTTTACTTACATAAAAATAATATATGTACAAAAACTCTCTATGTGTTATAAGTTACAGCTAGCTCTTAAAATGTCATGACATTTTGAAAGGCCATTCTTGAGAACAGTGGCTAGGTATCAAAGTGTGGTTCTACTTTAAGAAATAAATCTGTAAAAAAGTTTATTATGGGCTTCCCTACTTGTTTTCCTATTATTTCCGTATCAGATTTGCTGATTTTACAAGCAAAATGATGTGTTTCTAACTATCACCTCTGCAAACTCAACTAGACTCTTGAAAGTCAAGCTGGGTTCATTCAATTTCTGACATACAAATGATAAAAATTCTACACTAGAAGCTTAGAGAAAAAATTCCTTGCATGGTAGCACTCGGCTTCAGTGCTCTGCTCTTACTGCATTTGTGGATCTCTCCTAAATGTCAATTGGAGCTGAGTTTGTGCAGTCTTGGAAACAGGATGGACAGATACAGACACACACATGTATTTACACCTGGGGGGCAGAAGGGATCCCCCAATTCTCCTCCAGACTCTTCAAGTCATTTATAATGTCCTTCCCCCCACTTTGTAGCATATGAAGGGTCCTCAAGTTAAACCAAAAAAGAGACAAAAGAAAGGTCCTTTCAAGTGAAGGGAAAGGTGGCCTGTCTCCCAGGCCATCTTTCTAGATTCAGCTCTTTGGATTTGGCCTATTAATAGGTCTATTGTCTTTTATTAGGATCTAACTCCAGCCCCTCATCTTGGGGCATCTTGCTTCACAGCTGGTCGATACAGCGTTAGCGACAGTGTTTCCCTCTTGGCTGATGTGTCTCTGTTGTCAGCAGTCTCTGAGGTGAAGCAACCCTCCTTTTCTTCACCACTCCTTTCTGTAGCAGCTTTCCCTTTTTTAGCTCCTCTCCCTCTTCCAGGCAGAGCAAGTCTTACAGGCAGGCCTCATTAGTGCTTCAGTTTGTAAGGCCTCACATTTTTCAACAGTATGTTTCGTTGCTTCTTTTAATTCATGTTGATCTTTTTGTATCTGCAGCTCAGCCTCTTCTTTCCTGTAGTATACTGTTTATGTTCCATTTTCCTGGTCCTGGTTCCTCTCTACAGCGATACAATCAATACCCTCATTGGAATTGGCATAGCCCTCTCTGGAATTCCTGCATATTATTTGGGAGTTTATTTACCATCTGAAAAGAAACCTAAATGTCTTCAGTGGCTCTCTGGTAAGCAATGTAGTTTTACATTAGTATGTGATTATGTACATCTCTACATGCAGGCACCTGTAAATATAAATTGTGAGAACCTTGTCAGAAAACAAAAAAATCTTAGCTATTTTTTCTGGATTTTTTGTAAAATTTGTTCCCTGAGAAATTTTTAATATATAATGCATTACATGTCTAGGAAGTTTTGCTGTGTTTGTTATATGTTTTAGAGGAAAAAATAATCTGAACTACGCCACTTTACAGAATTTTCCTGCATGTAGATTCAATAAAAATATTACAGTTCATTAGGGTGACCAGATGTCCCGATTTTATAGGGACAGTCCCGATATTTGGAGCCTTTTTTTATATGGGCTCCTATTACCCCTCACCCCCGTCCCGATTTTTCACACTTGCAGTCTGGTCACCCTACGGTACATTAATTATAAGTCATTATGGAAGAATAATTTACATTGGCTCGGTCAAAAGTCCTCCTAGTGTTGAAGACTGAAGAAGAGCTCTGTGTAAGCTCAAAAGCTTGTGTCTCTCACCAATATAAGTTGGTCCAACAAGGTATTACCTCACCCAACTTGTTTCTCTAAAGACTAAACGCACTCATTTTTGGTCTGGAGGACTGAAAGTACCACATCACTGTATTGTTTCACTGACTGACCAATTAGTGTAGTATCTGAGTTAGAGGAGACCACCTATTTTGGTACCCAGTTAAAATGTGAATACTGCTATAATGATGGATATTTGAGATTGGTAAGGGGCTAACATTTGCATTGGGGAAAAAATTGGTGGTCCTGTAGGGCTGTACACATACTTATTTCTGGGTGCTCTCTTCCAGGAACAGTTGAAAAAGTGGTTGTGTGTGTGTGTGTGTGTGTGTGTGTGTGTGTGTGTGTGTGTGTAGGATGGGACAGATGCCATAACTTGTATAAATAAACTGATGTGAGCTGATGTAAACATCAGCAGAAAGTTTCCTAAATTATTAAATCATTAATTTAGTGGACTCAGGTTCAGAAACTAGTAGCTGCAGAGGATTATGCATATCTCTGCTACTGACTCACAGACTAGTCTTGAAAGGCTCAATCCTGAGCTCCTTGTTCAGTCTGATCCCAGCTCTTACAATTTTCCATTAAATTCAGTGAAGGGCTGATTAAAAATTAAGAATTTCAAAGTGGGGCTTTGATGTGTGAATGATTTACCCATTGGAAACATGGATTTAATCCCCCTCACAGAAATGTTGCAAAGCTTAATTAATGTTTGCAAAGTGGTTTGAGATCCTTGGACACAAAGTTTATAAAAGACCAAAGTTCTATTGTAACTTTGTCTCATCTATGTGTTTTTTTTATTTTGCAGCCACAACAACAAAATATGTTCAGATGTTGTTCTACTGTTGTCTGACAGACTTGGACACTGAAGTGGATCAGACAGAAGCTAAAGCCAAATAGGGTTGTCTGGACATTTACATACTTGAAGCATTTTTAGTGTCTGAAATTCTTTGTGTAGGGTTGGTTGCACGAAAGTACCAACAATTACACTGTGCATCAGTTTGATGTTAATTATTTTTGTGCTTATTTTATTAGCCCCTTCACTGCCATGGGTATTTACCCTTCCCTGTTCTACAGGATTTTTTTCTAATTTTGTTTATTAATGCTGATTGATTAGCTGGTGATTGTGAAGTGCTTTGAAAATATAAAGCACTGTATGAATAAGCTCTTCATGTTACATAAGTGTTAGTTTTTGCAAGCCTTTTGGAATAAATCTATCCAGTGCAAAGCAGAATCTTGAGAAATGAAAAGACAAATGAAAGAATACAATGCAAATCAGACATTTACTAGATTTACATTTCTAAAGATAAGGCAGGAGAAGAAAGTCACAATATAAATTTAAGAATTGTATTGCAATTATAAAATTTGTTTCTCAGCAAAAAAGTTTAAGTAGGCAGGCAAGCGTTTTCAAGGTATAAATGCATCACTAGAACAAAAAAAATCTAATCCATGTTCCCCTAAGTAGATCCCAGCAGACACATTTAATTCGGTTACAAGAAGAATACAAGGGAAGTGGACTATCTGAAATATAAAAGCTCTATGCTAAACCTTATGTGAGAACATACAACAATTGTCATCTTTTTGCAGTAGAGGCATTTCAGATGACAAATTAGTTCACATGGTTGTTGTCACAGGTGTGCCAGATCTCTTGCAGATCAGCTAGTCATGGAATGGGATAAAAAGACTGCAAGTTCTACTTCAGTATATGTACATTCAGGGGTAAGCACATCACCTTTCTATAGTGTGCCTGTGTTCACCTACAAACATCAAAAATTGTGGCCTCATAAACCATAGTAGATATGCTGGTTGACTTTCATTTAGGAAGGAACTAAGCATCTATCTCCTGAAAACATAGAAGAGAAAATAGACATCCTGAAAGAACTATCTGGGACTTAGGCCCCAGAGGCAATTCCTCTAGCCTTTGTTGATATACACTATACTTTGTAATCTATAGGATGTGTTACACTTACTTTCCATAATGCTATTGGAATATATATAATATTCTGTCTGTAGCTTCATCAGTGTTCCTTTCCGTAGCTCTGATCCTAAACTGATCTCTAGCTTTTAGCTTGGGGGGGTACAACATTATCCTTCATTATCGCCTACTTGGAGAGAGCTGTGGGGAGGGGGGTTGTCATAACTATAAAGGGAAGGGTAACAGCCCTCCTGTGTATAATACTATAAAATCCTCCTGGCCAGAGACTCCAAAATCCTTTTACCTGTAAAGGGTTAAGAAGCTCAGGTAACCAGGCTGACACCTGACCCAAAGGACCAATAAGGGGACAAGATACTTTCAAATCTTGGTGGGGGGAAGGCTTTTGTTTGTGCTCTTTGTTTTGGGGGTTGTTCGCTCTTGGGACTAAGAGGGACCAGACATCAATCCATGCTCTCCAAATCTTCTGAAAAAGTCTCTCATATTTCAAACTTGTAAGTAACAGCCAGGCAAGGCGTGTTAGGTTTATCTTTGTTTTCTCAGCTTGTAAATGTACCTTTTGCTAGAGTGTTTATCTCTGTTTGCTGTAACTTTGAACTTAAGGCTAGGGGGGTTCCTCTGGGCTCTTTGAATCTGATTACCCTGTAAAGTTATTTTCCATCCTGATTTTACAGAGATGATTTTTACCTTTCTTTCTTTAATTAAAAGCCTTCTTTTTAAGAACCTGATTGATTTTTCCTTGTTTTAAGATCCAAGGGGGTTGGATCTGGACTCACCAGGATTGGTGGGGGGAAAGAAGGGGGAATGTTTAATTTCTCCTTGTTTTAAGATCCAAGGGTTGGATCGGTGTTCACCAGGAAATTGGTGGAGAAGTCTCTCAAGGCTACCCAGGGAAGGGAGTTAGCACTTGGGAGTGGCGGCAGTAAAACCAGATCTAAGCTTGCAGTTAAGTTTAGAGCTTCTCATGCAGGTCCCCACATCTATACCCTAAAGTTCAGAGTGGGGAAAGAACCTTGACAGGGGTGGAAATAGGATTGTAATGGGGTGGGGTTAGTCACAGCAGTCACCACCTCTTTGTGGCTGCCCTGGGGGATCAGCTCTCACCCCATCTGGCATCATCTTCTGTCATCATTTACATACGCTGCCATCTCTCTCTCCCTGCAATTCAGGGTGCTATGTCTTCCTGACTTGGCCCTCCAGCCATGTCACTATAGTCCTTTCACCCTTCCAGGGATGAAAGACCCATTGGATCATAGAATCATAGAATATCAGGGTTGGAAGGGACCTCAGGAGGTCATCTAGTCCAACCCCCTGCTCAAAGCAGGACCAATTCCCAACTAAATCATCCCAGCCAGGGCTTTGTCAAGCCGGGCCTTAAAAACCTCCAAGGAAGGAGATTCCACCACCTCCCTAGGTAACGCATTCCAGTGCTTCACCACCCTCCTAGTGAAATAGTGTTTCCTAATATCCAACCTAGACCTCCCCCACTGCAACATGAGACCATTGCTCCTTGTTCTGTCATCTGCCACCACTGAGAACAGCCGAGCTCCATCCTCTTTGGAACCCCCCTTCAGGTAGTTGAAAGCAGCTATCAAATCCCCCCTCATTCTTCTCTTCTGGAGACTAAACAATCCCAGTTCCCTCAGCCTCTCCTCATAAGTCATGTGCTCCAGACCCCTAATCATTTTTGTTGCCCTCCGCTGGACTCTTTCCAATATTTCCACATCCTTCTTGTAGTGTGGGGCCCAAAACTGGACACCGTATTCCAGATGAGGCCTCACCAATGTCGCATAAAGGGGAACGATCACGTCCCTCGATCTGCTGGCAATGCCCCTACTTATACAGCCCAAAATGCCATTAGCCTTCTTGGCAACAAGAGCACACTGTTGACTCATATCCAGCTTCTCGTCCACTGTAACCCCTAGGTCCTTTTCTGCAGAACTGCTACCTAGCCATTCGGTCCCTAGTCTGTAGCAGTGCATAGGATTCTTCCGTCCTAAGTGCAGGACTCTGCACTTGTCCTTGTTGAACCTCATCAGGTTTCTTTTGGCCCAATCCTCCAATTTGTCTAGATCCCTCTGTATCTGATCCCTACCCTCCAGCATATCTACCACGCCTCCCAGTTTAGTGTCATCTGCAAACTTGCTGAGAGTGCAGTCCACACCATCCTCCAGATAATTAATAAAGATATTAAACAAAACTGGCCCCAGGACCGACCCTTGGGGCACTCCGCTTGAAACCGGCTGCCAACTAGACATGGAGCCATTGATCACTACCCGTTGAGCCCGACAATCTAGCCAGCTTTCTATCCACCTTACAGTCCATTCATCCAGCCCATACTTCTTTAACTTGGCAGCAAGAATACTGTGGGAGACCGTATCAAAAGCTTTGCTAAAGTCAAGGAATAACACATCCACTGCTTTCCCCTCATCCACAGACCCAGTTATCTCCTCATAGAAGGCAATTAGGTTAGTCAGGCATGACTTCCCCTTGGTGAATCCATGCTGACTGTTCCTGATCACTTTCCTCTCCTCTAAGTGTTTCATAATTGATTCCTTGAGGACCTGTTCCATGATTTTTCCAGGGACTGAGGTGAGGCTGACTGGATGACAGTTCTATGCAGTCTTCTGCTCCAGTGCCTGGGTTGGGCCACTTCCCCAGTGGCTAGGGTGACCAGATAGCAAGTGTGAAAAATCAGGATGGGGGTGGCGGGTAATGGTACTTATATAAGAAAAGCCAAGACCTTGGCTGCTGGTTGTTGGGCTGGAAACCAGAATAGTGGGAGGGCCCAGGTTCCCCTACCAGTCACTAGTAGGGTGATCACATGTCCTGGTTTTACAGGGACAATCCCAATATTCGGGGCTTTTTCTTATATGGGTGCCTAGTACCCCCGTATCCCCTTGTCCCAATTTTTCACACTTGCTATCTAGTCACAGTCCCAAACCCTGCGACTGTTTCCCTGGCCTGCTCCTACTTCTGATGTCTTAGTATCTTTGTTTATCTATCCACAGTACTTCCTTCAGCACTCTTTCTTTTGTGGACAGTTTGCCTAGTTTTCATATTGGAATTACTACTGCATGTTTCCACCCTCCCAGTATCACTCCTTTCCCCCAGATAATTGGTTCCAAGATAGCACTCAAAGTGATTTCAGAGAGATATGTGAATATTCTCTTACATAATAGATCATGACTCTCTTCAGTGAATTGTCTTTTAATCTGGAGGAAAATTTCACTTTGGTTGTCATCATTACTCACCCCTTAGAAAGTTTCTGCTAGAGTTTCTGTTTTCTCATTATCAGAACTTCTAACTATGTTGTCACTTCCCATAAGACCTGGGATGTGGCTACTCTCAGTCTGAAGTCCATTCATTGTAATTTGCCTGTATACTTCTGATGTCTTGGTATCTTTGTTTATCTACCCACAGCACTTCCTTCAGCACTCTTTCTTTTTATATATATATATATATATATATATAATTATTTGTACTATTGCCTTACTTCTTTTATACTTTATTAGATCTTCACTATTCATTGTATTTTTGTTGGGGTTTTTTTTAATAGGCTTTGTTCCTTCCTTTAAATGCCATTTTGCACTCCTCATTCCACCTGGAAATGAGTTTTTAGTTTTGGGATACTTCAATATCCTAGATATGGCTACAGTAGCAGTAGCTATTCATCCCTTTATTATATTACCATTGAAATTGTCTATCTCATCACTCACAAATTCAGTACATTTACATGTAAACAGCTCCCAGTTAGCTTTCTTAAAATTCCAGGAGGTAATTTTCCATTACCTTCAACCTTATCTTGCTCTTGAAAAGTAATAAGTAAGGCCCTACTTGAATTGCAGGATGATCTTCAAATAATTGGGCTGAGTTGCAGACAAGACATGGAAAATCAGGGAAAAGTAATAATGGACTTTATTAATAGCGGTAATTTGGAAAAGCCAAAGTAGACCTATTTGTTTAAGAAAAATTTGCTGGAACGATATAAACACTCAAGTATTATGTTATGCTTGCTATTTATTTTAATATATAACCAGACATTTTTGCTGCAACTATTCACTAAAACAAAAAAAGTGAGTGCTACAATATAAAATTCAGAAGACTAAAAGTCTTAACACACTGCTGTAGAAATCGAGTCCAGTCACTTTAGCCTTTTACATCTTGCAATGTTAGTGCAGTACTAATTGCATACTCAAAATGTATGCAAAATTGTGGACTGTGCAAAGTAAGCCAATTTAAATCAAAATTGCAGTGGAAGCCTAATACTGTGGGATCCGCAATTTCGCAATATCACGAATGAGATAGAGCCTTAGTAATAAGTATAGGGAAATGATTAATGCCCATTCCTTCTTCCTTATATATTTCCCAGTTGCATTTCTTTACAATAGCTGCTATATATATTATAATTCCCAGCTCTAAGCAGGAAAAACTACCATCTGCTGCATTTAATTCAGTTGGGGTGCCATTGTTTAAAACCACTAGATTGTTTTCATCAGTGAACTTTTCTAAACATGCACCATTTTTTATCAGCTGTCTTACTTCCCCATAATTTATTATGACTAATTAGGTCATCACATATGATATATGGTATTTTAGCATTCTTCACTATTTCTTGTCACTCTGGACTTTCATGTTTCCCACATGGGTTATAGCTATCATAAATCCTTAAAGAAGTATTACTCTTCTGCATTGGGATCTCACCAGCATTATATTCTAGGCTTACTTCTTCATTCATTGCTTCATTCTCTACTGCTATGTAGTTTAATTTTTTCCCTTATGAAATTATAAATGTCTCCTCCTCTTCCTAGTTTTCAGTTTTGGCTAGAGGCAATATACCCTGGAATTTTAAAAGTAGGCTTTTCAACCAACCATGTGTCCTGGATACATATGACATTTTCAGACTATTTTCTTTTAGTTCTTGACTATGTGCTATCAAACTGTATGCATTCCAACAAAAGATTGAGATCCCCATACTAGTCATATTTCACCATTAATTTCATTCAAAATTGCATGAATATGGTCCATTGCCAAGTTGCTGATATAAAGGTATTTTTCCACTGCCCTTGTTATAATTTTCATTGTTTCTGATTTTTTCCCAGTTTGTGGTGTAAAATTTATCATTATCATAAATGAAACAAGCTTTTCTTTTTTTATTACTAGTATATCATTGGCTATTCCTTCCACAATGTTTATCATATTATTTATAGAATGAGACTATCTGCAGTTCCCTTTTTCCTGTGCTGATTG